TTCGACTTGGGTTTACCGCAGCCTTCGTGCATATTAAATGATTACGTGTGAGAAAATTACTAAATTGACCTTATACAATATTTAATTTCATATTAAGTAATTTATAAAACATATTCTTGAAGCGATATAAATTTAGTAAATAAAGAAATTAAATTCATTTACTTAAAAGTGACCTCTAAACAGTTCATATATTTATTAACTCCATGAAAAATGTAATTAATCATGGGGTTTTCAATTTTTATACTGAAGATAATTTGAAAATAATTTTATTTTAATTACTCTAAGAATATAATTTTCATTAGGTAGATTTATTGTAAAAATATTTATCATGGCCTTTATAAATACGTTATATTTTTTACTTCATGCTTTGCCTTACTATACAGACGCCTTGTAGGCACGATAGATTTCATCGATACCACCCTAACCCAGGGGTAGTTGACTAAGAGACTACAGACACATTTGACAGATACCTGGCAACAGCACTTTCTGATTAACCTACAACTCTAATCTGCGATATCCAACATATCTGCCGAGTAAATCGTTTATTAAGAAGAGACTCATCATAGTCCAGCTCGTTTGACTCGCCGTCCGACCAGAACCAGACCCGAGCGTCGCGTTCCGCGCGCACCCAAAGAGCCAACAGACCATCACAGATGGGGCCCAATAGAGCTGATGCCGATGCGGATCCGCAAAGGACTTAACTGGTTGCCGGGGCTCCGGCTCGAAGTGCATGAGTAGGAATAGTGTGGTTTTTAGTCAGTAAGAGTCTGACACTCCCTCTCGCCTCACCCGAGCGGGAGAAGATTCCTCCCCCCCTCAAAAAGCTATAGATGAAAATTTTTGAGGACCTTCAGAAAACATCAGCGTGAAGGAACAGGCCAGTTATTGATGATAAGGCCTTCAAACAAATATTTTACTGTCGCTGTAGTATCTATAATAACCATTGTTGTGGATAGAATGGCGAGTAATTACGCGCTCTGATTATTTTTTTATTTAGAATTCGCTATAGGGTACCTAGGTATAGATTGTATAATGTTTAGTCGTGAATGAAAGGCAGATAGTACCATGTCCTTTTTAGTCAAACTCTATTACATTTTCAACTTTATTGTATTGACATGAAGGCGAAAATCCAGTGAATAAATTAGACAGATTGAGATAGGTTGGCCAATGTACGTATAATTGGAGTTGTGCAGTTAAGACGTCCCTCGTAGTCAGGAGGTTAAGTTGCAAGCTTCTCGAGCATAGGGAAATATGTTTAAAGCCAGACAAATTTGCTAATGTGTAATTTTTTAAGTTATTCTTGTTTATGCGTTTGACACGACTCATCGTAAAAATATAGGTAGATTTTCCGGACACGTGAGGCTAGGGCTAAAGCCTTACAAAACGATTTTCTCCCGCGCCAACTGCGGTTGCGGGCCGGCAGCCTTTGTTATATGTAACATAAACATAAATAAATAATGTATGTATGTAAAAAATTAAAGGACATTTCACGACGCGTTTTACCCCCGCGGCGTGTGCGATTGTTTGCGGCTTCTGCTACACCGGCGAACGCGCCCGCTATCCCGCGGCTGAGGCGAGTTGCACCCGCGCGCTCTGCTATCGGTTAGCGGGCGATGCAATGGAAGGGCCGCTCTGGAACTCAACTTATTGTTTAACCGCCCATCTGGCGATAATCAATCGCTAAGTTTGCAGGCGATAATCGCATAATCGCAGCGATAATCGCGGAGCGGCTCGAGACGTTTTGAAAATAAATCTCTATTCCGCTACCACGGCGAGCGCGGGTGAAAACTGAGTCGTCACACCGTAGCGTATTAAACTCCAAACTGTGACAGTTTGGAGTTTAATACTTAATTTGCTCAATGACCTTCCTTATCCTGCAAAGTGCATTAAAGTACAAATATTGTTGTTAACCAAACAGTCAAACACGCAGTCACAAACTACCTAATGTTATTCTTGTTTTAAGACCTGACCTACAATTCCAAAAATAAACGAGTTCGTATTCATATTATTATAATTTAAGTAATTGGGATGATGCCATGACATAAAAAATTAAAAATCTAATTAGTCCGTAAGTTAGGTAATAAAAAAAATATTAGACACGTATTTTTTTATTTTGTCGTTTAATAAAACAATACTTAGATAAAACGAATCAAAGTTGAGGAGTAGGGACTAAAACGTCATTTCTACGTATAAAATGTACATAGAAGTGACGTCACACGACATTTCAAATCAATATAGGTATCGTTGAAAGTATTCGTTTCTGTAAGAAAAAAAAACTTGTCTAATGATTTAAAATAATCTACCAGACGGACATTAAAATAAAAATTAGGCATCTACCCTATTCTTATTTAATGTGTTGTGTAAGGAACTACTAACAAAAAAAAAAAACGTCGAACGCAAAAACCAACCGTCGTGCACAGGATTTTTTATGGGATAACCCGGTACACGAGCAAACGGATCACCTGATGGTAAATAATCGGGCTGCCCATGGTCACCTGAAACACAACGCAAGCGTTGTTTCACGTCCTTTTTCTCTGAGGCCGCTTTGGTATCACTCCGGGCGATACGGCGCATTCGTGCCGAAGTATGGCTGTCCCACATTTAAGATGGAAGGCATGAAATTGATTGAAAGATTACACTATTCAATTTCCAATAAATTACCTCTAGATTTTATGTATAATACTATCGTGAGATATGCTAGATTGATTAAAAAATACGGCACATTCACGTAAACTTTTCGAGTAAAGCTCTACCCGTTTCGGATCACACCGGAGAGACTCTCATTCATGACCAGTTTGCGTAGCGTCTAGTTTCTTAGTCTCTTTTTGTCATCTTCAACAATTTCAATTGTCTATCTATAGACATGTAATACAACTGCGTTAGCGCCCTTTATGGAACTCTAAAACCGACATAAAACAAAAAGCATTAGGAATTACCCACACTTTTTGCAAGTAATTTCTCGTTTTAAGTGAATCCTATATGAATTTAAATAAGTAAGTTTAGTGTCATCCTTATGTAGATAAGTTCTCATCATGTGTACATGAGTCATATTTAGGTAAATATGTGTATAAATGATGATATATTGTATGTATGTATGTATGTATGTATTAACGTAAGGTGATTCCGAAGTGATGATACCGAATGAATAAACAGAAATGAGATTATTGTTTTTTTATTTTATGAATACGCGTGTGACATGGGTATTTCTCGTTAATTCTTATAAAAAACTCAATCTAGATTTAGATTTGATCTGCAAGTGAATTTCGTAATTGGAAAACCAATATTATATTTTCCAGGGGATTGAATTGTAAGCACCCATACTCAGCAGTTAATTTGATTTGAAGTACGCTTCTATTTTTAACACTAACTATTGCCCGATACCCAAGGGGAGGGTCCTGGTCCTGCAATAGGGAGGCAGGGGGCCCCGAAGGACAGACTATTTCTACGATCGACACTTCATACCCCCTACACCCTGTTCCCCTGTAACGTGCAGTGGGTTCGATTTTCGCACGCAGCAAATCTTTGTATGATCCACAAATTGTTGTTTCGGGTCTGGGTGTCATGTGTATGAGAACTTGGATGTTTGTAAATGCACCCACGATACAGGAGAAAATCGTAGTGTGGGGCAACGTTATAAAAAAGAAACATTCCAATAAGGCCACGAATTATTGTGTCCAAAGGCCTCAGCGTAATCTAAGACGGTCTTGTCTATTGCTTTCCTATTTTGTCTGTGCAGTATACAGGGTGGTATTTTGTAATGCCACCTGAAGGGGAAGTCCCTTAATACAACAAAAGTACAGGGTGCAAATTTTACAGATTTTAGTCGGTTCGATTACCGTGTGCGGCAAGCGAATTTTTAAAAATCATAAAATTCAATTTTCTCTCTTATTAAAAAACAAAGGAATGTTTTCTTTGAGTAAAATTTTCTATCTAAAGTATTAAGAGTACTTCCTCTTCAGGTGGCAATACAAAATTCCACCCTGTATATTATGTAGGCTCCACGGAATAGGTACGAATTTTCAAAATCCCTTATCTCATTATACTTTCTCTAGAACATTGTGTCCTAACATAATAATGCGGGAACTGCATTACTATCGCAAAATAGATTGACAAGGTTTGACTTATGAGGGCTGGCAGAGATCAAGGCGTTAGTGTTAAGTGGTTTTTACAGTAACGATTCTAATGGCCTTATTACCTACCCTGAGTATAACATAATCTATATATATAAAAGAAAGTCGTGTTAGTTACACCACTTATAACTCAAGAACGATAGAACAGATTTAATTAAAAATTGGTATGGAGGTAGCTTAGAGCCAGGAGACGGACATAAGATACTTTTAATCCGTTCGAAAAAAAAAGTTTAGTTTAGTTTTAGTTTCCTGGAAAAACAGGATTGCGCGTACGAAGTCGCGGGCATAAGCTAGTATAAAATAACGTTTAATGTCCGAAGGTATATCTAGACATATTATATGTACTTGATTTTTCTTAAACGGGTGCGTTTACAATCATACAAGTTCGCATCATGTTATACAATTATACATCACATCTGTACCTAGAACTACAATTTGTGGATCGCATATTGCTATGAGACCTTCAGTGGATGACCTCTGTTATTACAATGGTAAACTTCTGTAGACACTCTCTACACCACCTAGGGGAAATAGGATATTAAGTCATGAAAGCCAATAAAGAGTTGTTCCGTATGGGCATCAAATCCGCGACAGGTTGTTCAGCGGCTAGATGGCCACGCAACGCGCCAAACGTACAGTCATTTCTACACATTAAGTACTTCATTAGGATAATATAAATTTATGGATAAATTAGCAGAGAACTAAAGAATGGAGCCTATTTTTAGCAGTAGACGTTCTCCAGCGAATGACGACTATGAAGCTTTTTAAACCATTTTTTAGCATTGTGTACTAGCCCTTAGGCGGCTCATCTCTGTATTTCGTGCATATAAACAAAACGTGCGCCGGCGCAGTCAGTGTTGTGGACCACGCGTCACCTCACGTGTGCGCATCCTTACAGTCAACTATTTATTTATTTATTTAAATTAATTGTGTATAGTGATTAGTGTTGTGATAATAGTGATTTTAATTTTAAAAGGTGAATATTTTATTTTTAATTTGGTAATTATTATTTTTTGCTCATTTGAAACTTAGAGATTTAAAATTGTAGCTGTTAGTCTAAAAATTTCTGTTAGACTTGTGGTAGTCATCGACTGCACTTGTGGTGGGTATGGGTTTGATCCCCGTGTGAGGCAAAATTTTTATCTTATAGAAATTATCTGAATTAGGACAAAGTATATAGAACTATACCCAGTAGTGTACAGGCACATAGTAGCAGGTTTGATTTTCGGGTCAAGCAAAACTTTTGATCGAGATATTTTTGATACTAGAACGAAATGTAGAATAGACATAGATATATTTCTGATCTATGACAATAGCCCTAATATCAGAAGTATAAGATGACGTAGGTAAGTCAAGTTTTTAAAACAAAACAAAAACATAGTTTTAAACAAAAAACAAAAGAAATTATGGAAAGTGTCAAGCGTAAAGTAAAAGTCGAACGAGCGAAAGTGACTTTTGTTTGGTTTACTTGCTTATAAATATCTACTTATATATAATGTAAGTAAATGGGTCAGGCTGTATCACCTGATAGCCGTGGCAAACTAAATCGTATTTTCATTTAATAAGAGGTATTTTACAATAACAATAAGATAATAAATATTTCTATTAATAGTAAGTCTGCCTCATTGGCTGAGTGGTCGTAAGTACGACTGCCAGGCAAGGGGTTTTCGATTCCCGGGTCCGATAATTGGACTACGACCTACCTAAATCATCAACAGCCTGTTTTCGTCCACTGTTGGACAAAAGCCTCTCAAATGGCACGCCACTGAGCTCGGTCTTCAGCTCTACGCATCCAATCACTACCAGCCACTTTACGTATATCGTCACTCCACCTAGCTGGAGGGTGCCCTACACTACGTTTGCCTAGACGCGGTCTCCACTATGGACCTACCTAAATAAAGTTACCAAACTCAGGACCCACGTTTAGGAAATTAAACAGTTATCTTAAAAAGTAAAGTATAGAACGGTTGGTTAGTGCATCTTTCTACAGACGAGGCCCACTAAAAATTCGCTTGCGACCCCCAATGGGTTGTGACCCATAATTTAGGAAACTAGGCAGAGCAGAGGCGCCCACTATTCACTTATTATTTTGTGACTCTCTTTATTTTATAACGGCATTATTTACTGGCAAACAATTGGTTCAATTTAAGACCCTTACCTTACCCAATATACTACAATGATAGTTGAAAACCATAATTTTATTAACATTTACATTTATTTGTAGGTAAATAACCTTTTTTATAAAATCTACGGTAATCGAACTGAAGCAATTATGGAAATCGATATATAGTTTATTTCCATAGTCCTTGAAATGGATTTATATAATATCACACCATTTACATCAATAAATCAAATCTGAATTAATACACATAAACTGAACCCACGTGCTCAATCCTATCCTAACTTCTATACATATCATTAACTTAGTATCCCATTAATCTAGTTTACTTCAACTCAAGTCATTTTAGTTATTAATTTCCAGTTTTGCGTTGTAAACAAATATTAGATACCGTTGGGGCAGGATATTAAATGTATGTTAATAATATATGAATGGCTGTCTCTTAAAACTATGTAAAATACCAGTTTCCGTAGTAATATGTATATAATTATAATTTCTAAGACCTTGAACTCCATCTGTATCTAATATTGCAGAGCTAAGAGAATTATAAATAATGAGTGACTTGAAAAATTCTTTCTCCATTGTAAAGTTTAATTCGTAGGTACAGGATTATCATGAGCTATTTTTTATACCAAAATTCCTTAGGAACCGGGAAAAAATTCATTTTTTTTGGATTATTATGGCAGTACCTATCTATAATTTCTAGATTTTTCCGCCATATTTTTTGCGTTCCTGTAGGAATTTTGGAAGAAGATTTTTTTTTGCTTTTCGCGACACTACACGAAACTTTCTGTAATTTCGATTGTGCGTTATCGGAGCGTAAATGTAATACTTTAATATAGTTACCTTGTTAATAGGTAATTAGTTTTTTTTTTATATCTTTAAATAGGTTGGTTTTCAAAATAATTTATAGGTAGATAAAGTAGGCCTTGTTGATAATGTTTCAGTTCAGGTACATACTTACTATGTTTATTGTATATAGGTCACCCACGTGTCTTTAAATAGGTAGATATATCTATGTAAATTCGTGTATAAAGATTAAGGGCCAATTTTTCCAACGCCAGATAAATTTTTAATGAGGAATACATAACTTTGAATATTTGACAATTCTTCCATAATAAAAACTGTCGACTGTCAAATTTATTCTAAGTTTTTTTTAAGGGCGGAAAATCATCGAATGACTTCTCCCACCTGAATGAGGCGGGAGAGAGTGGACTCTTATTGACTAAAAATTACCCTGTTCCTACTTCTGCCCTTCGAGCCGGAGCCCCGGCAACCCGTTAAGTTATCCGCGGCTCCGTATCGGCATCAGCCCTATTGGGCCCCATCCGTGGTGGTCTACCCTTAAAAAAAACCGTGGTGGTGTGATGTATGTCTCTGGTCTGGTTCTGGTCGGACGGCGAGCCACCCATGCTCGTCGTCCGCAGGCCCGTGCTTACGGCTTATTCTACAGTGCCTAATATTTTAAGTTAACAAGTTAAACTGTCAAACACCAAGCGGTCACCGGTGACCGCAACCTATTGTTCTATAATTGTGTCTATAATGACGGTACTCGACGAGTTAAGTGCCTTAATGTGCGCCTCTGACTACCAGTTCGGGGGAAGAGGCGTAATGTTATGTTATGTAATATCCAATCAGTAGTAAACCGCCATAGGTTACTAATGATGTGGCGGTTACTTTCACATTAACAATAAAATTTGATTTCAGGAATACTATAACTTACAAATACCTAGATATAGACTTTACGTATAAATATATAGGAAATCTTCAGTTGATGAAGTCATCTTTTATTTAATGCTCTCAAAACGATACAAGTGCGTGACAGACAAAGTATTACTTAATTTAAACACTAACTTGTGAATTGATATCTAAATCTGTCTAAATATAGGAAATACGAGTCATAAACAGTACTTAGCTGTAGCTAAGTAAAGATGTAACAACAGGAATAAAAAAATATTTAATAGAAATAAAAGACAAATATTCTCGAAAATGCGCAATGAGCACATTTTTTAGCTTTGTTTTTTAGTTTTGCCATACATTGAAAACATGTAACTCCAGAGTCCAGAAAAAAAAAGATATTTCGGAACACAAAACCCCATTTATTACTTTGCTTGTCCCCGTAATCCATAAATTGGTCCTAAACTACTTGGTCGACTTGAATTGAATTGAATTATTTTTTAATACGGTACTTGAATTGGATAATTTCCATTTTAAAATAGTTTTATTTATTGTTACAGAATATAAGCTTCACACAACATGATAAGAGATCCAGAGGTAAGAAACTTGAATAGTTAACGTTTACAAACATATAAAATTTACGCGCCATTCATTGGGATTGGAAAATAAAAGAAAATAACCACGTAGAAATCCAACCTAATAACACACTACACAACTTACAATTAACTATGCAGTTTTAACTATACAATCAAACAGTACAAAGTTTTTAAAAATATGAATGGAAATTTGTAAAAAAAGTTATGAGTGATCGTAGCCCGGGACCAGACTATGTTGCCTATGCTGAAATCCGGTACTGCACGTGACACGGCTACTGTTCATGCTCGATTAGTTTCAAGACAAAACGTGACTCAAAATCATTCGCATCCACAACATTAATTAAACATTTGCTTCAATCTGTACAATCCTGTTATGGTCGTAGATTTCTTCTATATCACGACTTATTTGCATGCTCACATGCACATGAATTCTAGGAACATAAATTAATTACTGAACAAGCAATAGGTTTATTTAATACTGGCTAATTACTTCACACTAGATATAACATAAGATAAACAATATATTGTATAAAATAAAGGTAATTATAAAACAATCATGATGTGAACAAGTAGTATCGGACGATCATCACGACTTTTGTAAGATTTCCCAGTATCTAAGTAAATGTATCGTTATGTACTGTGATTCATACGATTTGTAGCCATGTCATGAATATGGCAGTTGGTTTCTACACGCAATAGGTACCTATCTGTGTCCAGATACTATTCCAGACTTCGTTCAAAACACTTTACCATACCGTCTTTATCATAAGGGTACTCGGGGCCCGCGCCCAAGAGGATGGGGATCCTCAGAGGGCCCAGAATGATCGGCAATTTCTACGACGGATACGCAACCTGCTGCCGCACAACGTGTAGTGGGTCCGATTACCCGCACGAAGCAACTCTTTGTGTGATCCACAAATTGTTGTTTCGGGTTTGGGTGTATGTGAAATTGTAAATTACAATTTGTACTTATTCGAAACTTGTGTGTTTGTAAAAGTACCCAGGATACAGGAGGAAATCCTAGTGTGGGGAAACGTTAAAAAAAGAAACACCCAAAATGGCCCCAAATTATTGTATGCAAGGGCCCCAGCGTAATCTAAGACGGCCTTACTCTGATTACTGAGAATTTTCAATCATACTTTAACGCGATTGTTGTAACGCGTATTTGAATCACTGACAATTTTAATACTCAATACTCAATACAAACGTATTGAGAGAGATTGCACTCCATATGTTTAAAAGGTGTTACATAATAATATAGTACAGTATGGACCCTGTAGGGCACGGCAACGTAGAAGAGAGAAGGACGCTAATTTTATTTAGATTATGTATCGCAGATTTTTTATTACTAGTTATAAGTAGTTGCTTTATTCAATTTATTTTAAGAATGCTACTGACCGTTACTTATAGGCTCTGGTACCAGTTTCAGGACATGCTCAGGTTCCTTTAGTGCAATCAGTTCGGAGCCATTTAACCAATTCAATCATTACTAGTCGTGGTGGCCCAGAGGTTTAAGACGCCCGCTCCTCATCCATGAGGGTGCAGGATCGAAAGTTCGAAAGTACTGACTTGTATGTGACTTTCACCGACTTATATGTACATTCTAAGATTATTTAGAGACCACTGACAAACGGTGAGGGAAAACATCATGAGGAAACCTAAGCTTATAATTTAAAATCGTAAGTTTGAAATTTCGAACCCGCATTGGGCAAGCGTGACGATTAATGCACAAACCTTTTCCGTGTGAGAATAGGCCTTTGGTCAGTAATCCCCACTTATAGGCTTTTGATGGAGATATTGAATCATAGTAGACATTTGTACTAATCATGAAGGTACTAATTCGCATGTCGGTGAACCAATCAATCAGAGATTGTCATGACAATCAATGAACTCCTGCTAAAGTAGACTCTTTGTTCACATTGCGACAGTTAATGCTTCCGTTGCGTGTCAGATTGTTTGTTTCATTGTAACTCTAGTTCCGTGTTAGTGAAAAGGTCATGGTAATGTCGTAATTATGATGAGGTATTACCTATTATCAGCTCATGTGGAGCTCATATCGAGTTCCTACCAAAGTACTGATTAGTCTAAGTACCTATTACTAATAAAACAGTGTCTCTTTGATGCTATTGTTATAAACACATAGGTACATGTTGTATGTATCTAAGCATTTGATTGCCTGTTCATTATCTATTTTAATATGTTCGAAACCACAGATCAAAATCGCTTCCATTGTATTTTTAGGCTTGATTCTAGATACAGTGATGTTGTTGAAATGAAGATTTAAATAAAAATTATCTCGTTCGTTTCTCCAAGTCCTTGACTTAGAAACGGCAGAAAGAAGATATCTTATATTTCTAATTATTAACTTTAAATAATTTATTATTTTTCTTATTTTGTTTTTTAATCGTTGTCCCATATTTTCAAGTTCTCGTAGTAAATATGATCTTATTAGGACATCGATCGAAAAAATTTAACACAATAAATATCCTGATCTTAACTCGTCGAGTGCCGGTTTTGTAGACACAATTATAGAACAATAGGTTGTGGTCACCGGTGACTGCTTGGTGTTTGACAGTTTAATTATAATGAAAGTGACTGTCACCACACCACCCATGGTGATCCAAAAATTACACAATTTCACATACTAACACACCATATAGAGGTATTCGTCATTAAACATGTCCTTTTTCTTTTTCCACAGCCATGTGCGTGTCCCATACAGGAGGTGGGACCCTCAATGCTGCCATCGTGTCCGAACCAGTTCCTTCTCTTCATGACGATCCTGGAAGCCTACATCAATGGCCGTTGTGACCTGGCAGACCCTTGCAACAGAGTCACCAGTAGAGACCCGCCTGATGACAACTATGATTTCGTGGTTATTGGAGGTGGGACGGCTGGGTCAGTGATGGCTGGAAGACTGTCTGAAAATCCTCAATGGAAGGTAAGATTTGGTGAAAAAGATGATTTATTTAAAATAAAAATGAGTGGATATACGTACATAAATATCACACAATATTATACATGAAAATCATTAAAAAATTTGGATCAAAAAGAGTGATTTCGTGAGGAAATCGAACCTGCTGTGACACGTTGGGCAGCAGTAGTTTACTCAGTCAGTGCACCAATCATTAGTCGTACTGTAACCGTATATTTCGGTGTCGCGGAGAACCTAACGGGTAACCGGGGCTCCGACTCGACGTGCAAGAAGGAACGGGGTGGTTTTTAGTCAGTAAGAGTCTGACACTCCCTCCCGCCTCACCCAGGCGGGAGCAGTCATTCGATGATATTGCCCCTTAAAAAAAAAACCGTATATTTCGGTACAGAAATAGGTCGTGAAATGTGGGCTATTTAGATGAGCATCTTGAACTACCAATCGTGTCGGTACATCTACAGGATGTATTGCCTTCATCTCCTACTTGTTTTTGTGATTATTCTGTAGGCACCTATTAAAATCCCAACTTTTTGCTCGCAAATGTTGCGGTCTATCTAAATCAGCGATTCATTTGTTTTGCTCTGTCTGCAATAGGCCACTGGGTCTATAACTGAGTGGAACAATGGACAGACATTCGGGACGATTTCACGGTAGACTCCATGACTTGCGACCACGCATTGTTATAGGATGCGTATACCTCAATGCAAGGTCGTAGATCGTTGTCTAAAACGACGTTTTCCTCGATTTAGGTACCTATTCGATTTTAATGTGATGTAACGTTCTTCGTTTTGTGCGTAATAGTCATTATAAGTACTTGTTAGTCGGGTTTTATTAATAAGGTCTTGTCAAAAAATCTTTCTATTGTATTCAGACATTTTAACAACAAATTCTTTTTTAAGGTGAAATGAAAAATATTGGTGGTCGGATCTTATGTGATCCTCCGCTCATCAATCATCCGATATTGGTCGGATCATAATTTGACATTCCGTCGTTCTGTTTTAACATCAAATTTATAAAAAGAGAGTCTTAAATATTTTAATTGAAGTTAAACTGCTGTTATTCAAATTACGTCACTTTATGAGGGAAACAAAATAAGTTATTTGCCATTGTTTTCTGTATTACGTTTTTATTAAATAACGGCTCATTTTTATTACAAAGATTAAGGTTTTTAGCTCCTATTAATTTTTTTAGCTCCTAATGCGTTATGGTCGGTTTGCTGTCGGAAGCTTTGTTCAAGCGAGTTAATTATGGTTACTAATAAATTAATTTGGTTGTACATAATATGAGATTAGTAGTTACTGTTCGGTTACTTCCCTGCCTACCTCTTAACGGATTATATCACACATCATTATTACTCGTAAGTAGTAACCGGAGAAAGAGAGAAAAAGCATTTATTCGACAGTAGACACGCACACAGATACAAAAATAACATCTACAAAATTAAAAATAAGGAATAAATATGGATACGTAGGTATCTGTATTTATTATATATCTATATTTATGTAATACAGAACAATAATGAAAACCAAAATACAAAAAAACGACACAACTTCTGTGCTTCTTTTTATACGAAGAAGAACAGACCACGCTTGCTTAGTAAAATAAGTCCAAGTTTCCTTAAGGCCCACGACACTTTTCTTATGTCAATGGTGACTAAAAAAACTAGGAAAGTTTTTAAAAAGTCACACTGTTGTTGCCAGGTTACAAAATCGGACCTTAATGGAATTTATTTGAACTCTGGCTCCATGGTTAATAAAGTCTATTTATCTCCCAGGTCCTACTGTTAGAAGCTGGTGGTGACGAGCCGACACAGTCTGGCGTTCCAGCGTGGGTGACAGCTTACTGGTCGCGGGATGACACCGACTGGCAATACTACACAGAGCCACAGGAACGAGCCTGTCTGGCTGACGGGGGCAAGTGCTATTGGCCGAGAGGGAAGATGTTAGGTAAGTGAGTTGAGGTTTGAGACTATAAATGCCTAACTAGCATTTCCGAACTTCGCACAACAAGGAATACACTAAAAAAGCTTACCAGTTCCAAATGTCGCATGAGAAACGATGAATTAAACAAAGTTTAGAACTATTGCAAAGTTATAATACTGACCGAGTTGTGAAAAGCAAATCAGTACATGGAAATATACCCAGAGATTCTAGTTCTAGCAACTTGGATTCCATATTCAGCGTTGGTATAGAGATAAGGTCAAACGAACATTTGAAGATGTGTAAAGAAAGCATATTGGGGATTTCAGACCTTAATGAAAATATGATCTTTAGGTTTTCAAGTTTTAGGTTTTAAGTTTTACTTCTGCAACTTTTCCATATTTCCAATTCTTTTCTCCAGGTGGTTGTTCAGTAATAAACGGAATGATGTACATGCGAGGTCAGCCAGCAGACTACGATGGATGGGCAGTCAACGGAGCCACGGGCTGGTCGTGGTACGACGTGCTGCCGTACTTCCTAAGGAGTGAGGATAATAAAGAGATAGGAAATGGCGTGTCTGCTCAGTACCATAGTCGAGGAGGACCTTTGCCGGTGCAGAAGGTAAGAGGGAGATCTCTTCGTTTGATTGTGTTTTTACGTTTTAATTTATGACTAGGTACCTTATTGAATTATTACTGTTAACGAGGTTTCGCATATTGTTGGAGACCCGTATTTTGGTTGACCATGATATTTCTAACATTTTAAGTACTTAATTAATTACTTTTTCGTGCAGTTCCGTTACGCGCCCCAATTCGCTCACGACGTGGTGTCCGGAGCCATCGAACTGGGCTACCCGCCCACTACTGACCTCAACGGAGAGACCATGACTGGCTTCACTATAGCACAGGCACTTAATGAGTAAGTTGACTATAACCCCAAGGCATTTCTTTTTTTAAAAAAAAACGTTGACCCCTCATTAGGATTTTCTCCTGTGTCGTGGGTGCGTTTACAAACATACCTACAAGTTCACAAACACAATGACACCTGGGTGTCATTGTGTTTGTCTGAGGTCTGGACCCGAAACAATAATTTGTGGATCACACAAAGCGTTGTTCCGTGCGGGAATCAAACCCGCGACACGTTGCACGGCAGCCGGTTACCCAGCCACCGCACCAACCGTGCAGTCAAATTGATTTGATTACACGTCAAGATTAGCGTTTTACTAGAATGGATCAAAGAATTTGAAATCTGCTTAACTTAGTTTAAGATTTGATACTCCTGATTGGTCCAGAGTGATTTGGATTAAGGCTCATTGTAAGGTATCGGTACCAAAATAAGGTTGCATATGCCCATAAAAACAGTAAATGCGGTGATCGAAGTCTTGTTAATGATTTTCGGATCAGGGGAAAATGTTGTTCATTATTCGATTTTGTGAAAATTCTACACAAGCAATAATTTTCTACCTGTTCCCGTTCTCCAGTGGTGGTACCCGCTACAGTACAGCCCGTGGTTACGTCCGACCTGCTTCGAAGAGAGCCAACCTGCATGTAGTGTTCAACGCTCTTGGATCCCGTGTCGTGGTAGATCCACTCACCAAGAAAGTTACTGCTGTGGAGTATATCAAGGATGGAGTCACCAATACTGTTGTGGTTAATAAGGAGGTAAGCTAAATTTCTGTTTTAGAATTCAGAAAGTTTGCAGTTGACTTTTAGATACTAAATAGGGCTAGGTGTTAAATATGTTGAAAACGTTTACAACCAGAAGGAGATACAGTTCTTATATGACGATCAAAAGAAGACTGAGAAACCCACAGACTGACAAAATATCTAATATTTAACAACTATTTAGTTTCTGCCTAATCTTTTAGTTTTACTTACAATCTAAATCCGTATCTATACCTACCTAAATCTATGATCTATTGACAACAGCTCTTAACTATAAGTCACAGAATAGGTAGATACCTACTCTACAACTTTTTACCATTTTGCGTATCAATAAAAATTATTGATAATTTCGCAGGTAATCCTCAGTGCCGGTACGCTGAACACTCCAAAAATTCTGCTCCTTTCTGGTATCGGACCTAAGGCAACGCTAGACAAGTTCAATATCCCCACGATCCAGGATCTGCCAGGAGTGGGTCAGAATCTGCAGAACCATGTTGGAGTAACCCTGGACTTCACCTTGACTAAGGAGGCTAATGCCGCTGGTCTGAACTGGGATGTCGCTACCGAATATTTGCTGAGCAGATCTGGACCCTTGTCTAGCACTGGAATGTCTCAGGTAAGCTGAAAAATTTGATTGTAATTTGCGAAAAAATGTCCTTCTCCTAAGCCACTTGGTTGGGGTATTCGTATGCATTTCTTCTGTTATCTCCTCTATCAAACGTTAGCATGTTTGTCTAATGTACTTTTTACAGCGATCTTTCACTCGCTGGCTAAGTAGATTATGACAAATCCTTTTTGTATCTAGAGGAGGCTTGTAGTCCAGCTATGGACTGTTACGGCTCCTGCCCTGATGGTTATGATAATGACACAGTTCTAACATCAAGTTTCATTATATTTGCAAACTATTTAGTCAGTCTACGTCATCTCTAAAACCACTCATAACATAATTTGTGTCACAGCTCACCGGTAAAGTAAACTCGCGCTATGCAGCAGCCGGTGGTCGTCACCCAGACGTGCAGTACTTCTTCGGAGGGTACTACGCATCATGTGGCAATGCAATCGTCATTGATCCTAAGTCTCTCGACGAAGAAGCCGAGAGAAGGCATATCACGTAAGTTTGGATTTATTTTTTGAAGGAAGGAGGTGCAAATAATATGTATAATGAAACAACAAATTTAAAAGAAGAAGATAGGTAGTAGAAAGATGAAATAGGTAAACCAATGCTACAAAACAAAAAAACAAGAAATAAATAGGTACTTATGTAATTCTGACCATTATCCCGACAGGATCTCGGCGATAGCTCTTCACCCGCGCAGTCGTGGGTACCTCACGATTCGGTCGGTGGACCCGGCAGAGCCGCCGTTGATGCAGCCAAACTACTTCTACGACGAACACGAGCTGAACGTGCTGGTTGATGCCGCTAGGATCGCTTATAAACTTGCTAATACAACTGTAAGTACCTTTCTATTAGGTACGGTACCTTAATTGTGCGACTGTCCTGTACCTATAGTAATAGTTTGCCATAGGCAGAAGAACAGTGTTTGCGCTTATTCAATAATTGAAATGCTTGAATCTAAACGAGACAAGAATGTAACAGCAAACAAGTAGTCACCTAAATAGGCCACATGTCCGGTATTTCTTATGTATGGTGACATCCTACGAATGAGGGCGATCATTAGGATCAGCTACACTCAAGAAATCACAGTTCAATAATTGTGATTTATCACAGTAATCTGATATCCTGTTCAAGTGATATCAAGTCAAAGATGTTTCTGATTAAAATAGTTCGGAATGCCTACTTACTTATGTGAGTAAATAGCAGACCAACTTAAAGGTGACAAACGGTTACTTTATATTGCAGATTCTCCGAGAGAAATACGGCATGGTGCCAACAGAAGGATACGGCAGCCAGTGTGAAGGTGGTGGTCGGGACCCGAGCGACGATTTCTTCAAATGTCTGGCACAACAACATACTGCGCCAGAGAACCATCAAGTGGGCACCTGCAAGATGGGACCTGAGACTGATCCTATGGCCGTGGTCGATATGCAGCTCAGAGTTCATGGGATACAAGGTAAGTGAGAGCTATTGTCTTTTGTCTATACAGATAAACAATCAGATTGCCGGCCCCCTTACAGAGGGTTGAGCCTACGTACAGTATCTGAATACACTATTTTTTTGTGAATTTAGAACTAAAAGTTAATTATCCTCTCGCGCGTTTCTTGTACACACGGGTGTACGAGAGAGTTGAGTGCCCATCGCCGGAATTGTACACACGGGTGTACGAGAGTGACTTGCACCGATTGGAAACTTTTTCTGTGATGTACCTACCTATATTTTCAAGTTGCAACCCGTTCTTTATTTAATTGAACAGTAGGTATAGTTCATTCGCTTTCTATTAAACCCTTGTACGAGACGCGCGAGAGGTTATTTTGTTAGCGGTAACTAAATTATGAATTAATCTTTGTTTATTTCGCAGGTCTTCGTGTTGCTGATGCTTCTATAATGCCAACGTTACCCTCAGGTAAGTTTATTTATAAAACCTAGTAAAGTAATTAAAAGTAGTCAGTCTTCAACAATTTTGATTCTTTTACACTTTATCTTTGCATTATTTTCTTTACCATTTCACTTGCTTTTTCTTTACTTAAATAAGGCATTTTTTATCGCAGGTAACACAATGGCACCCGTAATAATGATAGCGGAGAGGGCATCAGAGTTCATAGTGACACGTCATCAGCTTTCGAAGAAGTCACCAGGACAAGTGGACAATAGATTCGGCAGTGATGGCTCACAGAACTCGGAGGATGTCAGTGGAAACTATGCCAGCAACGAGCGACCAGACGGACAAGCGCATCAGTAAGTTTTATTGAAGTAATCGTCTTTTAAAGTGTTACATTATTTAACAATACGTAGCTGGTTTAACCAACTACAATTTGTCAAATGTACGATAAAATGAGGTGAATAGTGATGGGGTAATAGAGACAGAAGAGTGAATCGATACTATGAAGAATTTCCCAATGTCTATTCACCCCTCTTTTGTCTCTGCCGATACATTTCTGGGGACATTTGTTGCCTTGTGCATCCTTGGCTTTCCGCAATCAACATTACTAATTAATTAATAAGTACCCTATGAATGGTTCACTCGTACAATGCATCCTTTGACGATATATACTTATCAATACTTTACACTTTCAATTGTCAGCTGGGTAAATTCAAGCGACTTATTCACAACTCTCTTTTATACACAATAAAATATTTTATTTTGTAAACTTTGGCCTCTAGTGATTAATTAATTAATTTCTGTATTTATTACATTCTAATGGCAACCTATGGACAGTGTTGTGGGTTATATTATTGCCCAAAATGTATTTTATGTAAACTATGTAGTTAGTAAGACTTTATAATGTAAGAAACAATTATTAAAAATGTAATTAATACAAAGTATTTTTCCAAACAGTTGGCATCACGGTCCCGGCGGTTACAACGGCTACCCCGGTTACCACGGACCCGCTCCGAAGCAACCCGAAAACCAAACCAACAAGAACTACCGCTGGGAACACAGATGGAAACCATGGGACAAAACCTCGCAACCAGATTGGCAGAATAAGAACCAAGATTGGCACAAAAACTGGCAACATAATGACAAACATAGTTCCCGATAGATTGTAGCTTAGGTTTAGAAATAAAATAAGTATTTAATTAAGAAAAATATTCGTTTTATTTGCTAATTAATTATAAATTAATTACTTATTATGTTATTTCTTCTTAGGATTTCTTTTGCCTTTCTTCTTTGTTTCGGGTTCGGATTCTGACCTGTACAAAAGAAATGCATGTTGAATGGTCATTACAATAGATTTAGCTCTTACAAAAGAATTAAGACAATATGACGCGATTAAAACTAAATAATATTCTTCTCATTATATCTCGAAAAAGGTAAATATGTATTTATCTAATTCTTACCAAATTACTAGCAAAGTCCAAAATTACTTTAAGTATCATAATAGGGATGATGACGGGGTATGAAAATTAAAAATATAATTAGTCCGTAAGTTATTAGGTAATGAAAAAATATTAGACACGTTATTTTTTTTATTTTGTCGTATAATAAAACAATACTTAGATAAAACGAATCAAAGTTTAGGAGTGGGGGCTAAAATGCCATTTCTACGTATAAAATGTACATAGAAGTGACGTCACGCGACATTTCAAATCAATATATCGTCGAAAGTATTCGTTTCTGTAAGAAAATAAAAAATACCTGTCTAAAGATTTAAAATAATCTACCAGACGGACATTAAAATAAAAATTAGGCATCTACCCTATTGATCTAAGTATCTAAGGTTTAATACCTGTTTATCATGTTACACTATTTGTATCAAAACTACTAAAAGCAGTCAATAAAAGGTCAATAACAATGATTAGCTATTGAGACTTACTCTTCACTAGCGTCAGGAGTTTCAGGAATGGTGACATTAGCTCTGGAACTCCGCCTGCTGTCTGCTAGCTCACTGGAGTCATTCAGTATTGATTGCACCTGTAAGTAAATAAAGGACATTTTACAACTGTTATATCAATGTAAATAAATAAATATGGGGTAGGCAGAAATCACACATATACAAAATTAACAGTTACAAGCACTACGTAGTATAAAACAAAGTTGCTATCCGCCGTCTGTCTGTCCCTATGTGTGCTTAGATCTTTAAAACTACGCAACGGGTTTTGATGCGGTGTTTTTAATAGATAAAGTGATTTTTAAGTAAGTTTTATATGTATAATATATGCATACTGCACCCGTGCGAAGCCGGGGCGGGTCGCTAGTTCAATATAAATATGTATTACAAGTATCAGATTATTACCAAAACAGTTTAATACTCCCGAAAAATCCTCAATGTCTTTGTTTTTTCTGCCAGTTCACGACCCTTAACCTTTAAAACTTATTAAATCTATACTTACAAATTCCTTCTCATAAACTATGGTATGCAATGTATCATCGGAGTCATCGTGCATGGACCGCGATGATCCCGCACTGCTGCGTCGAGACCCAGTCGACGATCGAGTCCTACGGACTGGCTTAACGACTGCTGTAAAAAAACCAATCATTTTCAATTACCTACTATAAGTAAGGAGAAACAAAACAAAGTACTAAAACCACCAAAAAAATTATGACATGGACTACTGTTTCTTGTCCAATCGATGCAGCTGCCAAAAATGTCATCAAAAATGTCATCATTAGACAAACAGACCTTAGCTCTGAGATTGGCTGGTCTGATTTAACCAACGATGGCCTTCAAAATCGCACGGAGCATTCTGGCGAACAACCAAACACAGTAGTCTTCTAATTTCAACCCTAATAGGTCAATGACACTAACCTGAGGCCTCTTTTTCTTGTTCCTTTTTACTCTTGCCCTTGCCTCTACTAGAGCCATTAGACTCAGTACTGGACCCTGACTGTAGACCCCTAGTGGACCTGCGTACAGTGATATTTGACACATCGAGGTCTGACACAGGAGACGACGACTCTTGAGAAGATATTGTTTCCTTTGGCGACTGTTTTCTTTTATTTTTGGTTTCTTTAGGTTTAGTCTTTTGTTCAATTTTCGGTTCTTCGGTTTTTGACTTTTCTTGAGTTTTAGCTTTCTCTTCGGCTTTCGCTTTGGCTGTGAAAAGTATTATAGCTACACTTATTGTAATGAATATAAACATTATAATGCAACTCATATATTTCTAGGCTCCATTACACAAAGCAGCTAATTAACTCGTCGAGTACCGTCATTATAGACACAATTATAGAACAATAGGTTGCGGTCACCGGTGACCGCTTGGTGTTTGACAGTTTAAATAATAATATAGTGAAGAAATATATTGAAGAATTAGTGAAATGCCATCAAGCAATAGTCTTATTGTTTTAATATCTTGTTATTATATTATTATCAAACTACGTTCAGTTTATAATATATTATTTTCGCATTTTCAAAATTAAAAGTAGACATATAATTATCAGTATACAGTATTAATTTTTTTAATCTTGTCAATCAATCACGAGACTTGATCCCCCATCATCCTAAAAGGTTGGCAATGCAGTTATAACGCCTCTGGTATTGCGAATATCCATGGGCCCAGACCCAGGTGACCCATCTTTTTTTTTTAATGGGACAAGCCCGCCACATCCTCCCAAAACCGCTGCAACTCCTGTAAGCCAGGATCTACAGTAGATACAACCATGAAAACACCGGAACATTGAAGTCCGGCGCGTCCCAGGGACATGAGTAGCTATCTTGGTTCCCGCAACGAAGTGAATCAAAAGATATTATAAGAGGAGAAGAAGAAAAAACTATACTTCCCTCGGTGAATTACTGCAGGTGACAGAATGAATTAAGCCTAAAGGCACAAAGAAGAGACTGTACAACTGGGTGAAGCCCAGTCGCCAAGCACCACGGAAATTTGACTAAAAAACTAAGTGGGTCCTATGTGTGAGCTGTTATACTTGCTTCCAATAATAGGTATGGCAAAAGCGCCTAAACGCACCCAGGTGACCCATCTGTTAGTTTGTCGCTATATCTCATAAAAAAATCTTACCTCTCTCAACATCCACCAAGGAGCGTTGCGACCTACTCCTCTTCACTCCCTTGTTATCTGGGTCGTTAGACTCCTTAGGATCCTTTTTGCCTTTCCCAGTCTTCTCCTTGGTAGGCTTGCTGGAGTCCGAACTACTGGCTGGACGATTAAGGGATAACTTTTTCTTTTTGCCTGGAACAACATTAGAGTTTATGAACAGTCTTATCTAGCAAGCGATTGTGATTATGTGCCTGTTTGGGCTTAAAAAATAATACAATTCATACTTGAATGTACTAGCTGATGTAACATCAAGACGTTTACAGTAGTATAATTTTTCTCGCAAGGTAAGCCTTTAACGGCCGACAAAAACTGTCAAAGACTATTCCTCCGCTCGACGCGGCATCGAATGTGTTAAGTTAGTATGAAATCTTTTGGTCAGCAATGTATAATAATATTTTTTATTGATCACAAGTATATTATAAACAATATTAACTCTGCGCTGTAATTAGTACCCATTTTTAAAATGAACCAGTTATAAAGTTCAACTAAAAGCTCCAAAAGGTGGGTAGCATATAAACATAAAAAACATACTCTTAGTAATCTTAGCCCGTTTAACAGGTGACTCGTCGCTACTGGAGTCTGATGGCTTCTCCACCGACTCTGAAGCGGGCACTGTGTCGGTTTCCGATGATTCTCGTAATGTGGTTCTTGACTCTTGTACGGCTCGACTGCTTTCCGCTTGTGGTTGTGCTGTCGGACATACGTATATGTAAAGACAATTTAAAACAAATTACCACGGTTAAATATACATTATGAGTACGCGTAATTAGTACAGTACAGAAACTTTAAGGTACAAATTTAGCTTTTCGAAAAATTAAATTATACACCACAACCTTCAAGAATCACAAAAAATCCGGTAGATTTTCAGTTTATCGTTCTCACAGACACAGACAACCATATGCGAAAGGTGACTCATTTTTATAATATACTAGTGAACCCGACAGACGTTGTCCTGCATATACACTTGAGTGTATAAATATTAGTTCAACCGTTTAGGATAAATAACCTAGACACCACGGAGAACCTAACACTCCCTCCAGCCTCACCCAGACGGGAGCAGTGATTCGATAATTTTCCCCCCTTAAAAAAAAGACACCGACTGCAGTCTCATCTGCCGGGCTGATTTGTGAATCTAAACCATCCAGGGCGCCACTCAGACGCGTACAAAAATTCATTTAAATCGGTCAAGCCGTTTAGGAAGACTAGTGACGAGCCTATTTCTAAATGGCTTTGTAACGTACCTTCAGATATCCTAGATATGGTATCAGTGGGAGAGGTCTCATCGATCTCCACCTCCTCTTCAACTGTCTCGTTGATGACGACATGCGTGCTACGAGCTATTGGTTGCGCTGAAATATAATGAAACTCATTAGTAGTTACTCAGATAATAATAATGCATAACATCTGAACACGATGTGACAGTTCATTACTGGATTTTAGACTTCATAACATCACGCCTTTTATCCCCGAAGGGTGGGCAGAGGTGTACATTACGGCACTTTATGCCACTATACAATGTAATGAGAAAAGTGGGTACTTTTCATTATTAATGGTATGAGTCCCATGTAATAGGGGGTGAGCCTATTGCCATATATACCGGGCACATTTCCAGACACCGGGAGATTTTTTTTAAATCCAGCAGTACTTTGGCCGACTCGGGAATCGAACCTGAGACCCCTTGCACGGCAGTCGCACTTGTGACCACTCGGCCAACGAGGCAATCGGAACTTCCTCTACATAAAAAGGAGTTGGAGCCTAAAATATTTTAAGTTTAGGGTTCTATCAAAGAATGCTACTGCCAACTTTACACTAGTCATGTTATGCGTCCTAAGTAAATCATTTTTAAATAACTTACGCAGTGACGAAGTGGTTCTGCCAAGTGGTGCTAGTGAGTCTTCTTGCATCGTCACTCCTTCGGTTATACCTGTTAAGATACGAATTATATTATGGTCTAATCATTGAATAGTTCTACCACTTTGTAGATGTTACAAATCATTGTTACACTGCACATATTGCATAGCAGTCACCCACTAACCCCCCGCAGGAGTAGCAGTGTTTTGTCAAAGTAATGCAGTATCTACCTGTATTAGACATTTTGTTCATGC